GCGCTGCATTGCAGAGTCCTATCTCTTTTGGTTTGTGATGAAGCTTATTACCACAGTCTTCTGAATTATCTGTATATCTATAGTGCAAAGAGGAAGTAGAGCAAAGCCCTCCCAAACCGTTTCCAATCGTTTACACGTGACATCATTGAGTTTGCCTTTGTTAATGTTTTTCAAACATACACACCCACAGTTGCACTGCCGCCATTAAAATCAATAAGCCACTTCCTCCCTCATTCAACTAAGAGTGGTCTACAGATATTGTAAATGTCTGAGGTACCAAGTATTTTACAAAAAGGCAAATAATGATCTACATGTACCATGTACCATGGACATATATTTCTTCAATTAAGGATGTATTCTTATGATACGCGGGAAAAAACGTGCATTAAACTTTCTAAATGCTTATATTTTTCTGAAAGTGTAATATCCAAGAAATAATTTAAAGACAAGAAAAGTGTACGTTAGTGTTCATCTAAGAGAGGCTCAACCCTTTGAACATAGGTCAAAATAGAGCATTGGAAATTTCATTAAAAATGTTACTAGACCATAAAATACCTCATAAAACTTATAAATAAAGTGAATTAAAACTTAATTCGGCTTCAATTTACTTGAAAGTATTGCAAAGTTGATTTTTTAAGCAAATTTTGAGCAAATAAATACCACTATAGATAACTTGTACCCAAAAATGTTTTTCACCCATGTTAAAATTAGGCACATTTTTCCCTATAAAATTGCTCGAAAAACCAAAGAAAAACATATTTCTACAATAAAACTTTTTAAGAAAATTGTTGTACAATTTCTTTGGGTATTATAGATCCTTTTCATAGCAAGAAAAGTGGGGGTTAGTGCACATATAAGAAAGTTTTGATATTTTTATATCCCCACCCCTGTTTCTTTTTCAGCAATTAATGAAATAAATCAAGGCATTTAGGCGTCAAAGTATGTATTTTATTCACCAAATATTCAAAATCAGTATGATAATTTCAGGTAACAATTGCAATTTTGTTAAGAAAAGAATTTCAAGAACAAAAAGTAATCAATAAACACATAAAACTTCATAATAATCTGTTGGATGTCCCCTCTTTCTCTTGCTATGTGGGTTCCGGATTGGGTCCTGGTTTGTGGTGTTTGATGGTGGCTTCACAGGGATTAGTAAAATCCGGTCTCCATTTCTCAATCTGATTTTCATGGTTTTCTCCATCTGATTTTAATGGTTCTTAAACCCTGCTCTCTTCTAAATTAGGCCTTCATTAGTGGTTCTTGTGAAAACAAGACTTACCTGTAAAAAATTATGTAAGAAAAAATAGATTATAATTCACTGGTAATATCATTGCTCAAAAAAATGTAAAATCATTATTTTGTCTATCTGACTTTGTTTTTATGAACCCAGGCCTGTAGTTTAGACTCAAATTATTTCTACATGTTCCATGATATTCCATTTTTTTAAACCCGCATAGGCCGCCATAGAATGAAGCGACCTAGTTTCACCGAATGTGAACAGCTAAAAATTATCGATGTTATCTTATTATTTTCGTACGGTATCTCTATAAATTTTGGATAGAGATTCTGCATTTACAATATCAAAGATAATTTATCATATACTAAGAGCTAAAGTTGCAATAAGAAAGATAATACGAATGTTGTCGTCTGCACGCCTCTGGAGACCTTAGGCCTAATGTACATTACGTTCATCATTTAATGCTTTGTTTGAGTTTGCGATGTGACATTATACATTGTACTATGTATTTTGAAACCTTTGTATCTATAATGCATAAACATTGCTATTTCAATAAGTTTGAAAGCATTGGAAACCTCCACTAGCTGCTACTGGAATTTCGTCAACACAGTTCAGCTCTCTTGGCTGGCATGTTTAGGGACCGCTTTCGAGAATGTAGGCCTAATTGTGATGTCGGCAATTTTTTAAATGTTTTAAAATTTTTGTCGGTTAATTGGTTCTTTTTATGGAGTGCCATTCGGCATTCCTGTCGCTTTGAAACTGACGATTCCGTCTTCTTGAGTCTTCCCCTCTCGATCATGTCGATTTTCACTTGTCGACTTTCTTAGGCCTATGTCGTAAATATTGTAATTTTGCACAGGTGTTGGTCATTAATACAACATAGAACATTTTTTTTATTTCAAAATAAATAGAGTTAAACATATTAATCATAAAAACTTTTAAAACTTCTTTGTTAATTGTTATCTGTTTGAATTTTACGACATGTCTAAGTACGAAGACCCACTTGGGATAAATTGATCAGAAGAATTCATCCTTAAGACAGTTCCAATAAATCTTCTTGCATATCTCTTTTTGTTTTGCCTGTGTTTCAAAAATCCCTACATTTACTGTATTCCTAAACTCAAAAAAAATTACAAAACTCAATGCTGGAAGAAAGAAATACTCTTCCAATCCCCTTTTTTGACTCCACACGAAAAAAAATATAATCTATGTCAAAGGAGAAACTACATACATAATTTGCTTCAACAAATCATAGAGTTACTCAAAAACTCCAAAGAACTTTTAGAAAACTTTAAAAAAAACACTTTTTTTTAAGTTGAAGCAACATCAAAACGTATAACTCGCAACTATCCCTCACGATGAATTATACAAAATAGATAATTTCTTTAATAGAATAACTCAATATACACTTTTACAAGTGCTATTATGTTAATATTACAAGGATGTTGGGGTTTTTTTATATGCAAAGTAATTGAAGACAATGTATTAAAAAAAAATGTAGGAACCAATAGTAAGGGATTGTACTCCTTTTAAGCCGACATGTTTTTATATTCCTTTGATGCAGAATTATTCAAGAACTTTTACCTGCGAAGAAAACACCTTACAGTGGCCTTCAACTGAATAGATATGAGAATAAAACTATCTTAATTCCTAAAAAAACTTAAAATTAACTACAAATATTTAATTCATATTATTCTTATGTATACCATATATATGTAATGTTTTGCCCTATCCACAGAAACAAATTGGATTTTAATCCAATCATTACTTTCAAATGTAAGCAGAATACACAGCAACTACACACAGCAGCTTTATTTTATAGTAAATAATGTACATATCACATGTCAGATGTGAAATCCAAAACTAATATATTTATCATTTCGTAAGTTCTTTGGTCGATACAATGACCTTGTCCACACCTCCCAACCTTATTAAGATTCAGGGTCATGAACCCAAGGGAGCACTCATTGCATCAGATATTTTCTTTAAACAAGGAAAGACAACTCCAGATTTCTTTTAATGGTATAGTCAGTTTCTTTGATCAATTCATATACAATGAAACTGTGAATAATTGGAGAGAAAAAAAGAAAAAAATATTGTGAGATATATGTTTTATTTCATCAAGATCACTTCTGGTCAACTTTAATGTTGAATAACTAAAACATAAACACACAAGTGTATTTTCAGTATGAACTGCTGCCTAGGTATATGAATGCATGTGTTCACTAAACTTCTGTTTAATAAATACAGGTAAATTGATTTTCAAGTAAACCTGATTTCACATAAGCTACATATCTGCAGCTACTAATACATGTAAATATTTCTGGAAGGTATCTATCTACATAATTATATACTAGTATTCAGTTATCAATTTTTTCTTGGTTAGGGTTATTCAACAAAAATAATTTAAACTGATATGCACACAATTTATATTTCATGACTCACATTGAAAAAAGACAAAGTAAACAAACAGCATGCAATCATGTTTGTATTTACAAGAAATTTACTAAGCACTACATGTAGACAGACAATGGAATGTTCAACAACAAATAAGTTGTATATTACAGGCATTTGTTATATAATAAAGATTATGCTGTTTAATAATGAAGTAAAAATTTATAAATCAATATTTAGATACCCTTCACAAGATCTCCAAATTTTGAATATCTTTTAATAAACAAAATTAACTGCACATGTACATTCTAATTATTTTTTTTTCCTACTCAAAAAAAAAAGTTCCAATTTTTAAAGATAATCAACCTTATAATAAAATTCATAGTAAAAATATTTTCATGTTTATTTCTTTACCTATCTGGTTTAAAATAATATGTAATTAAAATATGTAATTCATATAGTTTAAGCATGCAATACCAGTGAGAGCTACATGTAGCTATTACCTCCCTTTTTTGCAAACATTTTCTATACTGTGATTGAATAAAAAACATCAGTTTTAAGTTATAAATCCTATCTTATTATTTTATAACCTATGAAGTCACCTGCATGGCGCAGTGGCAAGAGCGTCTGCTCTCATGAGTAAGGAGTTGATCCTTAAATTGCTGGTTCGAAATCTCACAGTCAGACATAGAGATGAGACTGTATATACAGAGGTCCTGTGTTGCAGTAGGTGCTAGCACCAAAATGATCCCTCATTGCTCAATTAGCCATGTGTTCCAAGTAAGGACAAAATTTGCAGCTTTCCACCTGCAAATGTTGGCATCCCCATATGAGTTAAAAATTTTCAAGAAGAATGTTAAACAACATACAAATAAACAATAAACTATAGAGTCTTTGAATATGCAAATTCTTTTTTTTCTGACAAAGGGATCCTCAAATGATGTTTAGATATGGTTCATAAGAGTAGAAAAGTACTGTATCATCCCAGCTAGTCTTCATGAATTCAGCAACCATTTGTTATATTGCCTGAAAAATATAAAATGTTGATGCACTAACATAAAAGTATATGTTTGATATTTTAATAATTCATCATAAATGAATTGAATCAATAAAATAAAGTCACACTTCTTGAAATGCTTATGGGACTGCTGAAACTGAGATATCCAAGAGATTCAGGGTAAGATATATAGGAAAAAAATGTTGTTCAAGGGACTTTAAAATGACTTTGAAATCTCAGTGTGTTCAAGATATCACTCAGTGTCAAAGATATATACCAAAGTTCAACTCTAAACAGAGTATATAAAATGCATATACATATATGCCATTTACAGTTGCTAATTCAATCTATCAGTATTCATTGATAATCTGCATGAGAAAGAGATGTGCGCAAAATGAGCAAATTATTAAAAATTAACAAAAGTAAATCATATGCAATTCAAAGAGTTTGCAAATCATTCATCCAATTGTAATACTGTCATGAACGTCAACATGCCCTAGGTAGTCAAAGTTGTTTGATTTTAAGATACTGTTGTTTAACTGTACTTATTCAGACTGCAATGTATTAACTTGTTATCCAACAGTACACATTTTTTCACATTATCTGACATCCATCATGTAATACTATGATGAGAGTTATGCCCCTTTTTTATAACCCCAAAATATTGCTTTCTTTCTGAAAATTGTAGCTTTTTTCACCTTACATAGATATCATCTGAAGTCTCCATAAAATAGGTATTTAAATAATGAAAACTCATATTATTTTCATCTCTACTTAACTTAAAAGCCAAGAAATAAACAAAATGATTTTCCTATATTTACAAAGGACTTTCAAGATAAACATTCTGTTTCTAATTATGGCACATCCATTACCCTTGATTCTGGGATTCAGTACTAGGATGTATTCATTCAAAAAATAAGATGTATCGTGACCCTGATAATCTTGAAAAGATTTTATAATAAAAGGCTTCAGCCTTAAATATTCCAGAATAAAATTTTGATCCCCAACTGTGGACCCACCCTACCCTATAGCTATATGGTCTGAACAAATCTAAATCTGCTCTTAACTATCTCTGAGTGATTAATCATGACCTGCCTATTCTTGAAAAGAATTTAGATTTATTTTTTTTAATTTTTTGCCTACAGATAAAGTGGGATTACTATTGTTCTCTCTATTTTATTGCTGTACTCTAATTACATCAAAAACATATCATCACCAGTAATCAACATACCTTTTCTTTAGACTTGACATCCTTTCCTATTCTCATGGTTGCAGCTTCATCAGATAATTTGTTTTGTTACAGCTCAACTACAAATATGATAAATAAGTTAATACAATCATGCTCTAAATTAATTAATCCAAATAAAATACAAGCATTTGCAATTATGTGGAAAAAAACCTGAATGAAAAATACTGACAGATATCAATGCACTACATGCAAATCAGAAAAAATATGTAATGCAATTATTTACAGTTTGCATAATATACTGATTTATGTATCAACATAATTCTTCTTTGTTTATTCCAATCAGCATGATCAGGATGATAATAATTAAATAATAATGTTGCCTATTAAATGTTATAAATTTATCCTTATAATTACATTTACAATACTCACAACAGTCAAACCTTGATCTTGCACATCATTCAGAGTATATCCTGCAAGAAACATTCATTGCACATTAGTGTATAATTGAATTGATTTATTTTTTTATATTTGCTTTTTTTATTTATTTTCATGAAATTATAATTTTTGTGCATTTAATACATTATCATGTGCATACATATTGAAGACCATTTTAAAATTCAATCAACAATGTCATTCTTCAAAATAATCAAAAGACATACATTATATACATGTAAAGCCCATATTTTAAAAGTGGAAAAAAATTCTTGTGTGTATAATTTGTTTGGGATGGTGCATATCATTAAAAAAACAAACAACAAAAAAGGATGGAATGTCTTGATAGCTGACTTTACAATGCAAGGCCAAAAAATAATTGAAGGCCCTGATGGCTGTTTTTTTTTTAAATCTAGGCTAGTACATGGTAGGGGGCATCTGTCTTTTGGGTCAGGTCTATGTATAAGAAAAAATACAATCATAGTTGGGCTAGTTACTTGACAAGCTTGTTTCAGAGTTCTGTCATTTCAGAATCCTGTTTTATTTAGATTAATTATTTGTCCAACTGTGTATCACATTAAATAAATAAAATATAACTATTACATTAATTATGATTATAATTATGATGGTTTTTGGTCAGTCTCTTTTTATTCAAATCTAGTAGCCTAGTGGGATAGTGATATTATGATGAGCTGACCAGTAAAAAGTCTGAGTGAGCAGTGAATATGGTGAAAGAAAACTATATCTAGCCCTACAATGATTTCACATTTGTGATACATTATATACATTTTCTAAATTCAATAATGTTTGTTTATTACCTTATAGGGTCAATTGTGTTATTTTTGTCATACCTGGAGATGGCTGTTCAAAATGTACTCTAACCTGTTGTTGTGAGATGTGTATTGTTTCATTATGTATATACGAGGGCCGTTCAAAAATTACGCAATATAAAAGAATCTTTAGTTATATGGTCTTCAAAATTTCATATCAAAATGTTGTAAATTGATATCAATTTTGAGTGATTTTTCAGGACATATTAAGTCACGGAGCAGCAAAATCTTCGACGTTACAGGCATTATAAACAACTAGATCCGAGCTCGTTGCAAAGCAACGAGTATGTCTTCCGTCCTGTTTGACCGGAAGTAACTTTCATTTGAAAAAAAAAGAGTAATGAAGTCGAAAAATGGTTTAATCCTCCAAATCTATGTTCATTTTTGCAAAATCAAGCCATTTTTGGCAACTTCCGGTTTGACCGGAAGTACCGTCAACGGACGGAAATTAAGATTTAAGCTTCCAGTGACATATGATATCCAAAAACTTGTCAAGAACAACAAAAATATGCAATTTTTGACTACTTCCGGAAGTGACGTCCCCGGACGTATTTTGACAACTTCATTAGATAAAGCTTGACATTTTGAACAACTTTGCTTATTTGACATATTATAAATTCTCAATACTTTTTGAGATATTAAACAAAAACTTTCAAGGGCCCTAGATCCCTAATTTTAGGGTCAGCCCCTTTTTAATGATATTAAATGAAAGCGCTTGTAATTATGCACAACTTTTATTTAACATGTCTTAACAAAATATTTTTAGTTTTCAAGATAAAAAGGAAAATATCTGTAAATTTTCGCTCTTTTAGGCGTTCTAATTTTTGACCCCTATATAGCGCCATTTTGAATGCAGAAATCGAAAAACAAAAACCGATGTGCACAACTTCAATCCTTCTGTTATCTAAAACAAGTAAAATTTCTGCTCCAGCTTTTGTGGTCTCTGAGCCTTTATCCGGAAACGAAAGCCTATGATTTTTCGTTTAAAGGGGAATAACTCAAAACCGGAAGTGACTTTTGGAAATTTTAGTCATCATTCTGATAGAGTTTATATACGTCTTTAACCTCAGAAAATTTGAGCGAAATCCGTTTAGAAATGAGTGAGTTATGAGGCCTCAAAGTTGGCGTCTAGGAAGTAGAAGAAAAAAAAAAGAATAATAATCTTTACCAACAGAATCAGTAGAAGGTCTTCCGTTGGAAACGGAAGACCTTAATAAATAAATTATGTGATTGAGTTTTCATTTTCTCAACATCTTCCCAAGAGTATCTGTACAGTTTGAGTTACCTTATCTACTCAACATCCAAACAACATTTTTTGTCAAAGCTTAAAATCTATTAAACAAGTAAGAATATTCTTTTTTGTTTTAAAACCAAAAGCTGCAGGTATATATCAGATATAGTGTGATATTAGTTACTCTCAATCACGTTCTTTACAGTCCTCATAAAGTTTTCGTCGATAATCTTTTTCCCGTCCACCCGTATAGCCTTTTTACAGAGGTCTAACGGTCTAAAATTTCAATTTGCTCTTTGTGGATGAATGTCACGAACACCCTACTTTACTACATGTTTTATTATGCATATTTTTATCTATGTTGGCGATCTCTCGAGCATTACACATAATTTAACAAAATGTGGTGCACCGTCAATTCAGGAGACGTCATTTTCACAGTCGTTTTCACGGTAATCGCATCAGAGAAAAACCACTATATTTCTGTTAGTACTTCAAATATCACGCCAGAAATCTAAATACATAATAACAGAACAATTTAAAGATACATTTGAGAAAATTGTCGAAAATTATCGCGAATTATAGAAAATAGATGAGTTAAATTTTGGATTCCGAATGCTTTTGCTTGAAATTTTTTGTCGTGCTCCGTACCTCTCCATCAGCGATATCAACATACCGATAATTTTAGCAGAATTTTTTAAAAATACAGATATTTTGCCCAAAATTTATTGGAATCTTCAAGATACATTTTTCTGTTAAATTTCATAACTATATGACGTCTGTAAGAGTAAATAATAGCACAGTCCGCGTAATTTTTGAACGGCCCTCGTAATTAGTAACATTAAGTTTCTTGAACGTTCCAGAGTGGTCAACATGTTTGGTCAATTTATCTAGAACATTCTTAAGTTTTGTGTATGTCCAGATTGTTCCAGTAATATCATGTTTTATCAATTTCTAGAATATTCTAGATTTATATTACTGTATAAATACCCTGTCAATTCGATGCATAGATATCCTTTGTCGTATAAGCACTATTGAGATATAACTGGGATATATTTTCACTGGGACATTGTGTGCAGCAACGGACACTCTGATGTATGTATTCTTAGATTCTTGCTAAGTTTGTACTTTATGTTTCATATACTTATTATATATTACTGTAAATAAATTATTGTTAAGTTTAAATTGTGTTATTGATCTTTGCTGGCATTTAGGGTTATTCTGACCCATAACAGAATTGGGGGCTCGTCCGGGATAAAGAATTTCTTGCACTTTTGCAGCTTATTGTCAGAATTTTGTTTATTGAACCGTTAAATTTGACTATAAGCCAGCAAAAATCAACATGGTATTTTCGGTCACAGACTTTCTTAGTTCACCAAGTGTTCAGGTTTTTGATACGTTAAAAAAGGATGACTTGATCGCATTAGGTTTGCATTTTGGGTTAGATGTTAAATCCTCTCAGAGAAAGCAAGACATTAGAATTAAGGTTGCAAACAAACTAGTAGAAGAAAACATCTTTGAAAAATACGATCCTCCAGAATATACAGTTAAATCAGAGTTAGGCTCTTACAAAATGGCAGAATATCAGTTTCAATTAGAGTTAGAGAAAATGCGATTAGAAAGAGAAAAATTAGAGAGAGAAGATCGAGAAAAAGAAAGAGAAGAGCGAGAAAGAGAAAGAGAAGAACGAGAGCGTGAACGAAAATTTGAATTAGACAAATTAGAAAGAGAAGAACGAGAGCGTGAACGAAAATTTGAATTAGACAAATTAGAAAGACAAGAGCACTTTGAGTTAGAGAAATTAAGATTACAGCACCAACCAGAACCGTCATTTGTCAAGAATGAATTTGACGCAGCAAAAAATATTAGGTTAGTTCCGAAATTTCAAGAAAAATCTGTAGACAAATATTTTCCCCAATTCGAAAAAGTCGCAGAGAATCTTAAATGGCCACAACACGTTTGGTCAACAATGTTACAAAGTGTACTGGTTGGCAAAGCAGCTGAGGTATACTCTGCACTAGGGGTAGCTGAAAGTTCAGACTATGAGAAGGTCAAAGCAGCAATATTAAAAGCATATGAATTAGTACCTGAAGCATATAGACAAAAATTCAGAAAGTATAGGAAGTTTGATAATCAAACATTTGCTGAATTTTCACGAGAGAAAGAAGATTTATTCGATCATTGGTTTAGATCTAAGAATCTTGATAAAACTTTTGCTAATTTGCGCCAAGTCATCCTGGTAGAAGAGTTTAAGGAATGTGTTTCTCAAGATTTGAAAACACATTTAGAAGATAAGAATGTGAAAACTCTTGAAGAGGCAGCAGTCATATCTGATACTTATGCTCTGTCTCATAAAAAGAATTTTGTTTCAAGATCTCAGACTAGCTGTAATTCTACCAATTCAGACACATATAAAAAGAGTGGTTCAGGGTCTCAGTCTTTCACAAGTGCCCAGTCTCCATCCCAAGGTGGTTCTAAGTCCGGTCCAGGACGTTTTGAAGGATCATCTGGAATAGGGTCGCTTCCTACTTGTAGTTATAGTAAGAAAAAGGGTCATCTGATCAGTGAATGCTTTAAACTTAAGAGAAAAAATGATTTTGATGAAACTCAACCACACGCTTGTGCGGCA